ATACAAAGTGTAAGTGTGAGATATGCCAAATAGTTAGATAGTGATTCTAATCTAAAGGATAAAGATGGACTAGCAGAACAGGGTATTGTTCTTGATTGGTGGTCGATAAACCAGCTAAAATCACAGTATGCAAATGATAAAGCTATAGGGTTTTAGAAAGTGAAAGCGGTTTTGGATAAAGGACTGCTAGATTCAGAGAAAACACTGATTTAATGTTTATATAATGTTTTGATGGAACAAAAAATGGAAGATGAAATTGTGAAGGACTGTATGATAAAATGGGCTGAAAACATTGGTTATAACATTGAACTAAGTGCCTGGTCACTAATATGGGAATGAAACATCAAAATAACTAAATCTATAAGCTTAGAAAAAAATGTTTATAAAATGTTATACAGATGGTACATAATACCAGACAAAGTAACATATAAAAATGTATCCAATGAGTGCTGAAAATATGAAGAGAAAGTAGGGAGTTTTTTCATATTTGGTGGACATGTAGTAGGGCTAAGGACTTCTGGAAAATGATACATTAAATTTTAGAGAAAATTTTATGGGTTAAAATTGCCTTAACACCAGAGGTTTTTCTATTGAACACGATACCATCCACAATCGGAAAAAAATTGTTTCCAGTATTTGATTTTACATCTGATAAGCGCAGCAAGAATTTTGTACACTAGCAATTGGAAGACCACAAAGTTACCGACAAAAGAGGAATTTTTTGAGAAGATTCTAGAACTGACAGAAATTGATATCTTGACACACACATTAAATGACAGAATAACAGGAGAAAAACAAATGGGAACTGCTTTACACCTGGATTGAATCTACATTAACTTAAGTAGAACAGATTAGACCAGTACTATATTAGTTAGAATAGGATGTATGTACTGTAATAAACCTCTGATTGCAACAACACATAGAGAAGTAGGAAAAAACACAATTAAATTTTTAAAAAATAAGAAGTCGTCCTTCCTACCCAAAGAAGCCCTAGGAAGGTTTGCATTTCAACCTCTCCCCCCCCTCCCTGCACCTCTATTTTCAATACTCTTCTGATCTCTATATACATTATCTGGTAATAATTTTCCCAACAACAGCATAAGCTAGTATTATTATGCAGAGATTTCATATGGCAGAGTGTTTGCCTGTAGAAACCTAATAAATTCAGAGCAGAGGTGAGATTTCAGCTGGGAATTTTCTGACTTTTAGCTCAGTCTTTTAAACCTCTACATTACACTCACTCAAAATGGTCTGAAACTCATCAACTTCAGATGAGGCCAGATGCTCTACACAAACACATTCCTGGGATATTAATTTTGATTGTTCACATTGTAACATCGTAGACAGAAAAAAAGGAGGAGGAATGCAGATCCATCATTTGTTGCAGAGCTGCATCACAAGGAATCAAGTATACACATTTTAGGCAACTAACCTGCAATGCAAGCTCCAGCGAAAAGTTGGTCATCTACAGCTAACTGCATTCACCTGCTTTTGTCCAAATCACATAAAGACACTTGCTGTCCACATGGTGCTTCCTCTTTTGGGTCAGGGATGAGTTCTCTGTGCACACGAGTGGAAGTACAGAGTTGCTCCTTCCATCTCAAGGTCCCGAGGAAAGTAACAAAAATAATTACCATGTGATGGGATTTTCTCTCTCATGAGGACAAAAAGTGTTTTGCTCATGTGGAGGAGGGGAGAAATATTCGGGGAGGTCACTTATAGTGGCAGTGTCTTGGAATGTAGAACAAGAATTGGCTATGCTAGATAGAGCTGAGGAGAATTTCAGAGGGCCACCAGTTTTTTCCTCTTGATGAGCAAGACAGGGGTTTTCCTTAACCTTTCAACCATATGTAGCTCAATCCAAATGGCTCAATGCTGCAAAAATGATGGCCAGAGATTATTCCTGTATCCTAGCTCCTTCAGATGCATAGCCCCACCCTGTTTGTTGGTTATTTACTTTATGGTTTACATGTGGTGAATTTATATAGATGTAACAATTTACATCAGCCCAAAACTTTGCTCAGTTCAGATTATTCCAGTTCATCTCCACTTGATGTCCTCTTTGCAATGTTTCAGAAATATAATTTTGGTGACACAGCCAATCAACCTAGTTAAGAGATCTATTGCCCTCTTGCAATATCATTAATTAAACACACACTCAGTTCCCATTGTCCCATATGATGAGACCTTTGTGCCGTTTCTCCCAGCCAGGCATTAAATAAATCAGTAACAGTACAAAGCCGGCTTCTGATCTCAGTATTATTGAAGCAGCTCTGCTTCCTCCAGGTGTTCCTAAATGGTTAACATCTGCAAGTTGGAGTGAAAATCATGATGAACACAGCAAGATGGTAAGAGCTGATTAAAATTCATCCTACTATATCATCCATAAATAAGAAATAAAGATGAGAAGGAAGAAAGGAAGAAGACATGTCTGTGATTAATCAGTCTTAAAATGGTTGCTGAATGGTTGCTGCCTGCTTCCTGAATTTCATACAAATGCAGCCTGCATACAGATACTAAGGAGAGTGGCAAGCATATTGCTGTTATTAATCAGAAATATTAAATTCAACAACTATTAAGCATTTAATTCTGATATACACAGAAACAGCATTAGAAATCATATCCTAGCCAAACTATAAAAATCTAAGCACTGAGGATGTAAATTTCTTTACAGCTGCTTATAGTATTGCCATGTTGGAAAAAGCTAAAAGTCTTCATTCATTAGCCTGTGTGATTTACCAGTTGATTAATCACAGATTCAAAAGTGCATTTTCAATTAGAGCTGTCCCCAGAGTCTTTGGTGCTGATGACATCATTGAGATGAATCTATGATCTCTTGTATCTGGCCATTGTTGAGATCATGTTATAAACAAGGAGCTGTGCATGTACAGGGAAACTATTCTATATTAATCTGATCTCCTTCTGCTATCAGTTATACATACTCACATTTTGGAATTTTGATGGAGATTGCCACTAAAGATCTACAAGAGATTGTGTACATTACAAAACGTAATTTAATTTGATTCAGACAATTCACCTGATCAATAGGATAAAATCAAGCTAGCCAACTGATTAAAAGACTATAGCATGACATGCAACTAGAGAGAGAGAGAGAGAGGGGGAGGGAGAGAGAGAGATCCTTATGCAGCATACCCTATCTTTAGAGTTATGGTCTAGTTCCCCCTTATACCTGAGATTCTTTTTCTTGTCTTTTTCCAGCCAGGGTCCTATCAGTGTTAGCAATGTAGTCTGTGGGAAGTAAACGGAGTGTAGTGTTTTGTCAGCTATGTAACCAGTCAATCAGTAATGAAGTTAGTTAACCAGTTAAACTCAGTGATGTAGCAAGTTAACACTTTTTCACACTATGATGTTTAGTTTTTTAATTTCTGAAGACCTGTAGGTAAACAGAAACATATTCTTTCTCATGACAAGAGTGTATGAATGAATGATTAAGTAGGTGCCAGTTGAGATTAACAAATAAGGAGTGGTCTTCTGAGAGAGATTAGAAGCTAATCTGCTTTATTGGTCCCTGACTGAATTATTTTATCTGAGGCATAATTTGGAAGAGGAAGTTTATTATTTTAATTAAGCCACACTCAATTTCCTAACATACTAGCCCCCCAAGATTATCGATCTACAAATTTAGGAACCAACACAGCCCAAAGTCTGGGCTTCTGGGGTTGCTGCAATTCAATAACATCTGAGATTCCCAAATTGGCATACTGTGGAAAACTGTGGTTTCTCATTGCGTCTGAATTGACCCACAGTGAGCATAGAGCTAACCTCTGCCCAGTACCAGCAACATCATGTATAAGTTTCCTTTTCAGATGATAGCCATTTACAGTGGTTTCCAGCAGATAAACTATACAATTATGTTGGGGTCTTTTCGATTTGTAACAGTATGGAGCAATGATAGCCAGAAGACTTCACCTGTCTTTCAAAGATATCCAGACTGGTCATTTTAAACTCTGGTGGCTTTATCCACACCAGTAAATTTCATAAAATGGTTGTAGAAAATTTGTTTTATTTCTTTGTAGAATTTCTGTCTGGGAATCCAATATAGAATATTGGCAGAAATTGACACAACCTGAGATTGCATTAATGTTCCTCTAGCGAGGGAGTCAATCCATTTTGTCTTTCTCTACGAGGTTTGCAGTCTGGCAGTAAAGGTGTTTGCTTTTTTGACAGGAAAAAATTGCAAATGCACCCACCCACTGACCCCTGTTTCTAATCCTTCCTGACAGGAAGAATCCAATTCAATTTAAGACTATCTGTGTTGCAGTTTTGTAGTAGGATTTTCTTGTCAGGAGTACAGGATACACAGAAAACACATTAATTTTCTTTTTTTAAAAAATGCTTAGAAATAATTTACTGTTCCTTAGCTTTTGATGAAATTCTGTCCTCCCAACCAATTTCAGAAGAATAACTATGTCATTCCAATAGTGAGAGCTGCCAAAATGAGTGGGATCGTAGCTTCTGTTCTGTCTACCTTTGTGCAGTGAAGCAGAGAATTCATTTCCTAAAACCTTCCTGATAAAATGTCTCTTCTGCTTTTCCATATAAGTAGAATGTAAGATTTTTCATATAGGCACCGGTGGGGATTCCACAGACTTCCTATACATCCAAACAATAAATGCTTTAAAACCATGCCAAGCCACCTCTGCTTTTATTTTTTTACTTCTACTTAATCTGCATGTGAGCCATCTCGAGTCTTAGTTCTGGGAGAAAGGAGGGATATAAGTCAAATAACTAATTACTCTTTACAATTATTTTCATAACTGCCATTTACTTTGGGCAATCTTTCATGTTTGAAAAATTCTTGTTGCTTTACCCTTGCAACAAACACATTTTGGAAGAACTCAGGAGAGTTGCAATGGCAGATGATCACAGCTGGACTTCCTATAAACCTCCATGAATATGTGATTGCACAGGAAAAGATTTATCTGGCAGCACCCTAGACATACCTATTAATGAAGAAGCAGACATTAATCACAAGGAAGTAAACAGAAGCATTTCATTCTTTATTTGGTGCTTCAAGCACAAACTACCAGGTTTCACCTGATTTCATATACAACACAACATGAATTCATTGAGCAAACAACAAATGTTACAACTATTTTATTATAATCAAACCGATGAAATGACACTCATGCTTCATAAACCAACCTTGAAAACCTTCATTTCAAACCTTCAGAAAAAAACACATGTCAGAAACTAAATGAGATTCATTCACAAGACATGTTATACCCCAATGCCTGACTTCTAATCCAGATTGTCAAGAGGTCATTTTAATTATCAGGCTGTCCGGACAAGTCATTATTTTGCCAACAGACAGAAAAAGACTAAGCCATGGATTACAGGACTTCTGCATATTTGAAAATGTGCACACTTTAACGTCCAACCTTGAAATGATGATGGTACAGAAGAAATCTTATCAATTTGTTTGCCTATTGGGGTATTCATATTTCTTCTCTCCCGTTCTTCCAATGTTGTTTTCTTACACAAATGTTCCAATTTAGCTAGAACATGAAAATTGGTTTCTAAGTGCATATTTATACCTGGATGAGGTCATATGCAGATCTAAACTCACACAGGTCTTTCTGCTTTGGTTGCTAGCGCTATGAGTGCACAGCTCAAGCCAGAAAATTGAACAGTAACCTGATAGCTATTCAGAAGTGGTGGCTGGAATTTTATCCCTTGGCTCCTTCTTCCCACCAAAAAAAGCTGATGTATGTGATAGCTCAATATCCGGAAGAGTTCAGCCCTTACTTAGTTGGACTGGGGCCAAAGATTCCATTTAGTAAAGGCAGAATGCTAAGATGGTCCAGATGCACAGGATGGAATTTTCCCTTCACTTTATCCCTTTTGAGCTTCAGTTCCCAGCATAGAATTGGTACAGGAATAGGGGAGCTGAAGTCCAAAACTTCCAGAAGATCAATTGTTCTCCACCCTTGCTTCAGATCATTCAGGTGTTACTTTTCCTTGTTCTTGTATCTAAGACCTAGATACACTTAGGAAAGAAGTGAGAAAAAGACACAGAATGATCTGTCTGTGTGATACTGAATATACCTAACTAGTCCTATATTAGTCAACAAATTCAGCTCCTTTTAAGAATAAGGAGAGTATGAATTAAACCTTTCATATCCCTGCTTCAGTTCTTCAATTAAACAGAAGCAGTGGCAACAAAAATAAAACAGAAAATGATTGCTAGATATTAAAATAACAGCACAGTTCCATAGAAAACACTAGCATGACCTGAACCTCTGGAAATTTATCACTTTAGTATATATCACTTGCAAAAGATGCTCAGGATTTAAGACCACAACATGTAGAAAGTCATGCACCACCATGGAAAGCTTCCCCTGCTCTGCCTAGTGCTTCAGAGTTACAGGGAAAAGGTTGGCTTTTGCTTGCTTTATAAGCATTTAATCGCCAAAATCCTCTTGTGTAAACATATGTGGCATAGGACAAATGACATCACCCAGAATCTAAGTAGGGAACTCTTTCATTAGTGGCTGCTCATTAGTCCCCAGTGCAATCTCTCATTGTACATGTAGTGAGTCCCTGCTTGGATTCTGGGTCACGTCACCGCAGGTGACATCATTTGCCCTACACCGCACAAGTTTACACAAGAGGATTTTGGCCAATGAGGCAGAAAAGAATGACATGTCTAAACCTGTTGGCATGCTTTTGAGGCAGAAGAAAATCAACCAAAAATAAAATCAATTGTAGCATTTGTAAGTAAAGCATTTCTGCACTTAACTCTTAAAAATAATTGGCTGAAAGGAAGGAGGTAAACAATCCAATTTAAAGCCTGAAGTGCTGGTCCCAGATTCTCTGAAACGTGTCTCTCTTCCGTGCTTTATGATGAGAAAGTATGCTCCTTAAGAGATGTCTGGGATCTTTTCTCTAGCTTGTTGGCACTTTGGTTATTCCCTTGGCCTCGATGATATGCACATTTGTAGGAGGATGCTTTTTCCTTCCTGCCAACAGATGAAGAATACTAGTTAGAGTGGTAGAATACTTTTCAGTGCTATCAGAGACATATCTCTTAAATGATCCTCAGAAAACCCTTGGGCAGAATCTCAAAGCCAAACTGTTCACTGGTGAATCCACTCCACAAACAACATAAACACTGTGTGGTTTGTTTGTTTTTTGCCTTGTTCTTGCTGTATGTGTGTGTGTGTGTTTGTTTTCCTTTCTTTTTTTGGTCTTAATAAATAAAAACAATAAGAAAAAATCCACAAGAGAGAAATTATTTGTTACAAAAAAATTTAAATAAACCTTGGTCAAGAGTCAAATTATATGTTCAGTGGACACACATTAAAGTGTCTGAATGATGCCCTGGCATATAAAGGAACTATACACAGAGGTTCTGTCCAGTCACTCAGCATTTTGCCACTGTCTGCGTTCTGATTATGTGCCCTGTGTGTGTATTATGTGCCCAGTTGTACCTATGGCTCTGATCAGGAATTAAATGAATATGTATAAAGAAAGGGAGGTTCTTGGCATTCTTTTCCAAGGGCATTACTAAACACATAATTTGAACATCTCAGCATGTGAACTGGCTTGCACATTACTACGAATCATCATCATCATCTTACCGTTCTGATATTGTTGTCATGTGCCAAGTAAGAACCAACTTACAGAGACTCTAATAGGGATTTCAAAACAACTGAGGCATTTAAGGAGTTCCACACCCCCAGTGAGTTTCCATGGCTAAGTGGGAATTTGAACCAAGGTCTTCTGAGTCCTAGTCCATTTATCCACACTGGGTTCTCATTCTCATATTAATTCATTACAATACACATTGTCCACAATCCTCCAGTAAACTATAATGGGTGTTATTTACCATCTACAAGTTGAATGGGATTCCCAGTGTGGTATAGTCTACACCACTGCCCAGGTGGATGGAATGGAGAACCTGGGATGGGAAGTAGAGGTCTTGGCAGATAACATTGATCAACAAGCTCTTATTGATATGAGGTGTGATTGTTCATTGGTTTGCAATTTGAATGGGAGTTGAGCTCCAAGGACACCGATGGTCTGCTATACATGGGTAATATGAAACCATATGCTACTGTTTAGGTAAACTTGAAGGTAGGGAAGGACAAAAGGAGGCTAAGGGTACAAGGTCTGTCTCAGGATGCTGGGAAAGGACTGGACCAAACTAGAGTTTATGGTGCGATCAGGGGAATACGTGCAGGTGAGTCTGGGAGAATCAGAAGATGTAGGCTTGCTCAAGGGACCAGTTGGTCTTTGGCAATAAACTGGGACCAGTTGGTCTTTGGCAATAGGACGATTCTTCTCTCATGCAAGCATTGGCTGTGGTCCAAATGGAAGGAAAGGCACATGCAGATAACCGAGGGTTCAAATTGAGGGGAAGGTTCTTGTTGTCTAAGGTAGCCACCAATGAGGGAGTCAGACCTTTTGACAGATGTGGGCCTTATTAGGAATGAAGTTCTTATGTACTTATGTACGTCACCCTCAGATGAATAGACTGATATAATTGTTTAATGGGCATGTTAAGAAAGAGAATGTAGGAGAAACCTCGAGAACGGCCCCTTGATGTTTGTGGTTAGAGAAGTCCAACAGACCACAGGCTTTCCCCTTCTGAATTAAAGTATGGGAAGCAACCCCAGGGCCTGTTGGATCTTATTAAAGAATGATGGGAGGTGGTCACAAACAATGCACATCCTCTTATTCAACAGATAATAGAAATGCAGGAACATTTATGTATGGCTTCCTCATTGGCCAAGGAAACCTAAGGCCACTCTCAGACCCTCCAGAAATATCAGTATGACTCAAGGGTAAAGCCACAGACTTTTAGTCAGAAGAACAAGCCCTCCTGTTGTTTCCACCAATCACCAAGAAATGGTTTGCTCGGTGGCAGGGACCTTTTGAAGTGGTATGCAGAACGGGTTTTAATAATTATAAAATGTGAATGCCCAACTGGCAGAAACTCTTACAGATATTCCATGTGAATTTGCTAAAGAGTTGTCAAGATAGAGAGACACTGTTCAGAGATGTCAAGGAAGCCATCTATGGACCCGAGGCAATATTGGTAGTTCAAAACAGGGCAGAGATGTTACCCTTAGGTACTCAATTCACTAGTATTCAACAAAATCAGCTGAGGAAAATAGAATCTAACTTCCAGGATGTCTTTTGATCACTTCAGATACCTTTCCCTAAGGGTTACACAATTAACTAAGCACAGCTATGGAGGAGGTTGTTTCTGAGAATGTCTGGCAGGTTTAAAGAATCAAACAGCCACAAATCAAGTAGGAAAGGAGCTAATGACAGGCAGTTGACTGGCAGAAACCCCAATTATGAGCTATGAAAACAAATTTGACATGTTCAGAAATTCTTTCCCATTAACTCACAGGATACTGATTTTCTGGCAGGTGCAAGCACATTTCTGGCAGGTGTCCTAAGATCTCATTAGGAGACAGAATGGAGGAGAACATGGCTTATAGGAACCAGGCAGTCCCAAACTGTGTACTAGTAATTCCCCAAATTCACATCATTTTGGTGTGGTATGCTCAGAGAACAAAATTACTACATACATATTTTCATTCATGGAAAATGTGGACTGGAGGAGGGCAGAGGATCTAAATTGGTGTATTCTTGGGACAGGAGTTTCTTTCTAGCATCATCTTGGTTATGGAACTCCCTTCTATAGAAATCAAGGTGATTCAATTCCTGTTGCGCAACAATGAATGCACTGGTTGTTGTGGGTTTTTCGGGCTGTTTGGCCATGTTCTGAAGGTTGTTCTTCCTGACATTTCGCCAGTCTCTGTGGCCGGCATCTTCAGAGGACAGCGCCATGTGTGAGGAGAGCACAGAGTGCTGTCCTCTGAAGATGCTGGCCACAGAGGCTGGCAAAACGTTAGGAAGAACAACCTTCAGAACACGGCCAAAGAGCCCGAAAAACCCACAACAACCATTAGATGCCGGCCATGAAAGCCTTCACGAATACATATGAATGCACTGTTTTGTATCACCCTTGGTCCTTAAAACTACTTTTAAAGTTGTTTTTTTGGAACTGACTTTAATCTGTTCTTCAAGGATAATGATTTTTTAAACAATGCCTTTTAAAAACTATTTCTAAATAAAAAAATTATCTGTTTTATTGTGCATCAGTTTGGGAGTAACGACCAGAACAAATAGGATAAATACTTTTAATATATAAATAATGAAAGAACAAGTGAGTAATATGGTGTATGGACAGTTACCTCACACCAACAATTGTGGAACGCTTTCCCACCTGAAATTCGCCTGGAGCCCTCACTGAGAACTTTTGAGCAATTATTAAAACCTTTTTTATTCAGATAGGCCTTCCCGGACTCTATTTTATCTTGATTCAACAGTTACTGTTCAACCCAGCCATCTTTTTCCTTTTTTCTTTTTAATGTTTACTGATATTACTTTTATTTGTTCAATATTGTATTGATTAGTTTATACTTTCTTCTGTTATTGTATTGCTTTGTTTTTACACTCTGTTTTTATTATACTACCGTATTTGCCGGCGTACAAGGTGACTTTTTGGGCCCAAAAAACATGCCTCCAAGTGGGGGGGGTCGTCTTGTACGCCAGGTGCACTGAATGACGTGGGGCCGCACTGGCCGGGGAGGAAGGCAGGCGGGCAGGCAGGCAGTCGGTCTGGATGGAGGGAAGCACAGCCTGCCATGTCTGAGCTGCCCGCTGCCCCGTGCCGCTGAGACAGCCGCCGCTGAGACAGCTCCGCCCAGGTCCCGGAGCTACACCCCCACAACAGTGCTGGACCTCCCCGCTTCCTCTGGACCCCCCGTCTCCCGGGAAAGCGACTGCCAGGAGAGCGGCCTGGTGGCCCGCCAAGGGGTCGTGCAGCGCGGCCTGATCCAGAGGCTGAGAGGTCGGGAGGAGGAGGCAGGGAGGGACTTCGAACAAGCGGCCTGCCTTGGCAGCCCCTTCATCCACCAGCAGCTGGTCCAGATGAACCCTTACTCCGCCCTCTGCAACCAGATGCTGGTGGAGGTGATGAAGCAGCTGCGCGGCCGCCTGATCCCCCCGGGAGAGGCTTCCTCTGGGGGGATATGGGGGCCCAGCTGAGTGTCCCGGGGCTCGCCCGCTGGAGGAGCACGCACACGGGGGGGGAATAAAAGAGAGGCCTCTGCAAAAAGGTGGTCTGGCTTGGGCCCCGCCCCCCGCCTGTTTCCCTTTTCCTCTTCCTCCTCCTGCCGCAGCCCGCTCACCCTCTTCCGCTCTTCCTCACCCTCTCGCTGCCATGCAATGCGCGCGCGCTCGCCCGCCAGCCGCCCGTTTCACCTCTTCCTCCTCCTCCTGTTAGGGGGGTCATCTTGTACTGCTGGTCGCCTTGTGCGCCAATAAATACGGTATGTAAACCGCCCAGAGTGACCTGGGTTGCCAGATGGACAGTATAGAAATCAAATACTGTAAATAAACAAATAAGGTCTTGTGTTTACTGAAGCCAGGTGCCAAACAGTGGTGCCAGAGGAACAAACGTACAGTTTGTCTAAAATAAAACAACCAGCATGCTCAAAACATTACAGGTAGCCTGTCATTTGTTGCTGTTATATATCTTTATGTGCTTCTATGTTCCCTGCCATTAGAAAGTGGAATCTCTTAGTAGACCTTTGTAACTGAACAATTATCCTTTCACATAAAGTCTACCCAGAAGACCAGTCATTAAACACAGCAAACTAATTTTCTATAGATAGTATGAAAGGTTTCTGCTATGACAATGCGACAATTTGAGCACGTTACTTTGACCATGAATTTATTTGTTTTTCAGGATCAGAAATGAGTTCACATTCTTTGGAGGCCGAAGGGGAGTGGGGGAAGAATCTGCTCCTGGTTTCCTCCAAGCATTCTTCCTTTAACCAGGCTTAGTTTAGGTGTGTGATGGGAAAAGCTTTTTATTATTACTGCTGGGGGGTCAAAAGCCCTTTCAGATCTACTTCAGATCAGACCTAGTTCCGGATCCTACTCTACCCCCTGACCACCCCTACTGTGGGAGGCAGAGCTGGAATTCAATGGCCTGCCAGCCAAAGGTATATTTATCTCATGAGACTAAAGAGGAAGCAGGATACAAATGGATGTCTCACAGAGAACAGTTTGTTGCTTCTCGTATGATAAAGCTGTTCACCAACTCTCTCTCCCTCTCTCTCTTACTTTTCTTTCCCTCACAGTTCTGCCAAAAGGCATGGTCTAGTTTTGTGTATTTGCATCCATGCAATCTATGTTCAAAATAGGGAGCTGCATTGTTCCAGCCAGCATTTTGATTTCTAAGCCCTTGACAGGGTAATTGTTATAATAGGGGGATTTCAGCGAGCCCTCCCCTGGAAGCTGTCCAAGCAGTGCAGATCTCTCTGAATTCTGTAAATGTATCCTTTTCACTCAGCCCACACAAATGTGTCACAGTTTAAAACTGAAAGAGGTTTTTTTTTCCCTCTCCTTCTTCCTGCCTCTGGTAGCAGCTATAAGTGTTGAGCTCTGCTTTTAAAGTGTGCAGGCACATGTAGGAGTGAAACTGACAGATTATAATTATCAATAGAGAAGGGGGAAAACAAAAATTAATTTCAGAGGCAAAACATATAATTTGTCTTTAAACTGTAGTCGCTATGCCATTCCTCATGCAATTTCCTGTTCTATGAAATCAGACTTAAGTTGTCTGGGATTCAAACATCTCTCCTCAAATTACACTGTCCTATTGAAGTGTAATGCAAGCTTTCAAATAAGTGTCAATGGACAATATATGAACACAACAAAAATAGTAGGTAACAGAGACCACAATCGTATGTTATGCCTCCACAGAAACAACTCCCAGTGATTCCAATGGGGTCTCTTCTGGCTTTATGATTTTATAATAAATACTGTTCAGTAGGTATTGTTGTTGTTGTTTCGACTTATATACCATAGAGCTAAACCACTCTGTCTGGACAGTTGATAACATAGTTATGCAAGGAACATTTTACCAATCTGGGAAGGATGGATGGCTGAGTCAACCTTGAGCCAGCCATCTGAACCCATTAGGATCAAACCTGGGTCGTGAGCAGAAACTTTAACCACTGCACCATAGGACTCACTATTTGTAACAGCCCTGTGGCACAGTGATTAGACTGCAGTATTCCAGGTACTGGTGATGGCTCCACACACCTCTTTCACTGGTGCACTTGAGATGGCTTTCTGATTTTAGCAGGTTATAAAATCTGAAGGAAGCTTCACCCCAAGCCCTTTCCTTCATTGCACCAGTAAATATAATTTCATACTGACTAGGCTTCAAAGGCCAAAAATCATTGACACTTTCTTCTTTCCCCTTCATTACACTATGGGTTCTTAAAATAGCTGTGGTATCTTATGATGCTGAAATGTAATCTTGAACCTGAGTCACTTCCTCAACATCAGAAGTGGAAGAATGTGTATTTTATGAAAATAACTCTAAGTCTGGAATGACATTTAATTAAATTGGATTTACTAAATGGTTCAGAAAGCCTGTTTTCAAATTAAACAGAGCATTTCACAGGCAGGGTATTTCTGTGCCTGCGGACTTCATTTTTCTTGATAATGAAAGTAACAGAAAAAATAAAATGGGGGAAGACAGGAAAAATGGCACCGGGAGACCACTGGAGGCGTTGGATCTGCAGAAGCCAAAACCTTGACCTGAACCCCAACAGGGGAGAGATTATTTATACCAGCCCTGGATCTGGTTTCAATGGAGAAAATGGAGAGGAAATATATCAATATTGGTATTTAAGAGAAGTGGGGGAGGGGCGACACAGTGAAGATCGGAAAATGTTACTGCCCTTCAAGCAGAAGCTCAGGCATTCCGGATGTCAAGCATATGACATAACAAGGATTGTCCATGGCCAAGAAACGGCAATATAAAACACCATTACATGAAGAGACAACTGCAAAATACATGCATTAGACAAAACGATGTACTTAGATAGCCATATTAGGAAAAATGGAATACCAATTTTTAAAATAGATCTTGGACACCACAACACAAATACATATTTAATTCCATGGTGGTGAGATTTCCTCACCTGGACATGAATCTCACCACCGTGGAATAAATATAGTGGCAATGTATTTTCACTCTTATGTTTTGAAGTGGATTTTGATCCTAAAAAGCTTACAATGAAATAAAACTCTTGGTCTTTAAAGTGCCACAATATTTGCCCCGCCTCCTTTTTTTTTCCTGGCATGATTCTGTGATGTAGGCATGAAACAGAAACTTAATGCTGGGCACACAAAGCAACAGAGAGAAATTGAAATGGACAGATTTGTGCTTTCTGACCTCTGTGAACTATACAGTGAACCAAGCTGCCATCTCTGCTGAAATAAACGATCTTGGGGTGCAGTGAGCAGGCAAGGATCTGCCTGCTGCCTGGATAATCCCTGAGTTCAGTGCTTGGCCCAGAGTGAATTGTTGGTTTGTGTTAGTCTCTATAAATGGTACACAACTGAAATTATTTTTATTCAAAATTCTGAAAAGAAAAATTCCTTGGAGATTTTGTTTTTCAACAAAAATTCATAAAACTGATCTAGTCTTATACCATAAGGCATGTCTTGCACTTCAGTAATACTTTATCTCCTTGTACATTCATGGGATCATAACTTTGACCTTCAGGTGAAACTTTTGTTTTACTTGGGAAGTTTAGGAAAACAATTAGTTTTTAAGAAAACAGAGGGCTGGCAAATGAAACCTTGGATAAATTTCTGGAACTTTTGAACTCCCTTTAAAAAAAACAAAATATCAGACTCTGAGTGTACGAAAAAGAACTGTTATATATTTTCCCCTCACTCCTCACTCCTGGCCCCAAACTCTGGCTTTTTATTTATAGGAAAGAGGAAGAAGAGGAGTTTTCAAAGCCTCCAAAAGTTTCAGAAATTTAGCCAGAAACACATTCACCGAGCCCTCTGTCTCCTTAAAGCTAATTGTTTTCCTAAGTTTTCCATGTTAAATGTAACTTCTTTATGTAGAATTGGATTTCTTGAGCAATGTATCACTTATATTAAATGTAATATTTTTTTCATTTTTGTGAAAAACCTAAAATATATTAAAAACTGAAAACAGAAGAAACTATAGATTTCTTCTGTTGGAAAATAACTTCTGAGGGAAGGTATGCTAGTTCAATATCGGTTTCCTTTTATGAAACTTTTTCTAACAACTCTTGTTTTTGGAACTATCATTATCAGCAACTTCTGCTTCTCCTAATCTTTCATTTTTATCACTTTTTCTTGTACATCTAAAATCTGGAGTTTTGTCCAGATTGAGAAAAAATGTGTCTTACCTTTACATTAAAATTTATTTCATGACTAGATGTGAGTATTTCCAAACATAGTCCAGCTTCTTTCGCTCTGCAGCTGAACAAGGAATGAGACTATGGCCAATTTATCACAGGTTGGATCAGGCTAAAGAGGGCCACTTGGAGGTGCTGTATGCCAGTTGGGGTTATCCTTGCATCCATGTGAAAGGATCAAGTGGTTTGGCAAGAAACCACACAGCACCTCAAACAACCCTATTTAGTCCATTTGTCATTTTAAAGGGAAAGAAAAAAGAACAAAAAAGATCCCCTTCTGTGTCCCCTTCTGTTCCCCCCCCCCCAATAGGGGATCAGGGAAAAGATGCAATCTACAAAAATAAATAAATAATTTTTTTTAAAAAAACCCACAAGTGCCATGGGGCTGAACTGGCCTGCCACTGCAGTGATGCAGCGCTGGTTATAAAGAGAGAGAAAACCCTCTCTATGCATCCTGTTGAGTTGGGGAAAGCAAATTTATTTATTTATTTATTTATTTATTTATTTATTTATTTATTGCATGCTGCCACTGTGGGGATCAGCTTTGGTTCACTGGGCAATTACATATGCCAGAACTGAAGCAAAATAGAACAGTCCTATCTAGATTGAAACACACCGTTGACCCTGCTAGGGACTCAAAAATGTCCCAGTAGGCATGGATGAAGATCAGGCTGGTTTGCAATTATCAGAATGTCATGTGGTCACCGGAAAACTGATGAATCCACCCCGTTCTGAAAGCAATTGGAACTGTGGGATAAAGCACCATTTGATTTCATCCTGTGTTGCAATACACTGTGTTGCCGGAGGATATGCTTTTTAGAATTCCAGATGACATACTTGGACCAAAATAACTAAAGATATTCTGCAATATCTAAATATTCTGTTCCACCATCAAGCCGTGAGCAGCTTAGAAATCTTGGGCTGAGTAGATTGCAAAGCACATGTTGTAATATATGAACATCTTGTCTTAAACAATTTTTTATTCTACTGTAAAATATTTCATAACATTTTCAGGGCTGTAACTTTATCAGTCGGTTCCAACAAATATCATGATTCTCTGGCTCTATAAAGATGAACAATTTATGGTATACTTAGGCATCACTTTGGTGGCCTTCAGTCCATCCGTCTGATGAAGAGGTCTACAGTTCATTAACATACATGAGAAATAGAGCTGCTCTGTGTCTAGAAACTGTAAAAGAGTTTAGAAGGCCTTCTTGAAGAAACTGCTACCCAGTGAAAATAAAAGAATACGTTGCTCATAGTAGCAATATTGATCCTCCCCCTAAAAGGTAATACATTTAAATTTCTCTGTCTAAATGAGTCCTCCACCCACTTATGGACAGGCTAACATTTCCAAAATTGATCAGAGGGTGAAAAGAGCAAGCTTACATATGCTGGTGCTTTTCTTCTTTGAATAGTCATCCTTTTAGGATCAGGGGAACCGCTGTGATATAGCATTACCAAATGCTAGAAAATTCCACAGTGTATCAAGCTGCCTGAGGGATGCATGCAACTTCAACACTGCTGAAGGTTTGATTTTATAAAGGCAAGTAAAGAAAATGTAAAACTTCACAGATGGATTCCAAAACACAACAAGAAGCCAAGCTACCTTACCATGTACTTGAGATTGGTGCCAAAGGTCTTTCTGTAATTGTATTCAGCCTGTAGTAATCCAGAAAAGTTCTGGCCACGTTCCTTCCTAGTTTCATATCTGTGAATGCTTAATTAAGGAGAATTGTTTAAATTTTTTTTGATAAAGCCAGACTCACTGTAAAGGTAAGTTATGGTGATGGGACACATAAGTCAATTGGCAAGAGAACAGCAAAGATGAAATCTTCAGTAAAGCTTGGAAAGTTACTTTGAGAAAAGAATTTTCACATTATCTTTTACTGAGCCCAGTGTGGGCTGTTCAGAATTTTCATCACTGGTCTTGGCAGTGCCATTTGCTGCCTTACCTATTATTAACATAATAATGCTACTGTGAACCTTGCCCTTCACGTCCTCATCCAAACCTAATGGAAGTTTCTGCTGACCACCCTTCTGTCCCTGAAAACTGCCCTCTGCTAGTCTTTCTTCAAATTGACATCAAAGCTACACAGGATATACAGGGCTTCTTTCACAAAGCTGATGGCATTTCAGGGTATTTCCGGGGAGTGCTAATGGTGCCATTTTGAAAAACAACAAAAAGGAAGCCTTGTGGCCCTTACACAATACTAATGCAGGAGAAGGTGACACCTTTATTAGACCACTTTAAAAAAAACCTTCTTCAGGCCATACACCCATGTCTTGTGGATAGTGCAGAAAAATTACAAATGAGGGTCGCAAAAATTCATGGCACAAGTCTGCCAGGTATGCTTCTTAAAGTGAGCTCAAAGCTGGCTACAGCAGACCTATGGAGTGTGTGGTTTAACGCTTCACCCCCTGGTGAAATGTGGTTGGTGAAATGTTGGTGCCCATTGCTACTCGAAGGAACATGCTGCAAATAACATGTTACCTTTTCATGCATTATTTCCAAGCACTGATCCTCACAAATGACCCCAATTGTTATCTGCAGCAAAGTTGTTCCTACCCATTAGTGAAAAAGTTATGTAAGATGGTGGATGATTAAGAGGGGGCAGTATTAACAGTCGTCTTGGCCTAAACACTCCCAGCCTGTCCCCCCTCATTTGGAAAAGAGAACTACGTGTGCTACAGAACCTGGTCTGCTGCTCTCAGTTGCACTAGAGAATGCTGTCCATGGGACAATGGTTGGTCTGATTGGCTTCTATATGTGGAATGGATGCAGGAGGGGGCCAATCTTAGTCTCTGTTCGTGCAGCAAACTGTCTTGGACTTCCTAACCAGTAACTATATAAGACTAATCTGTCATTATATTTATTCACAATGCTAGATGGAAAGATAGTTGTTAAAATTGTAAAGCACAATGACAATGTTTAAAATATGTATTTCAGATATGTAGTACACAGAAGTTCTATGGATTTTGCTGCCATCTCACTCTGCACATCCATAGTGGGGGAGTTGGTCACTGGAAAACAGATCTTTCGGTTCATGCAAGATCATGTCCTGGAGATCCTGATTATGTATATACTTCACATAAACTACTGAACCTAACACCAGAGCTTGAAAAAAGTTACCTTTTTTGCATGATATCACTGGTAATGCTAGCTGAGGGAATCTAGGACTGGGGGGGGGGAAGTGCTGTAAAAGACTACAAGTCCTACAATCACTCAGCAAACATGAATTTCTGTCTAACCCCAAAATATCTAAATTTCACAGCCAAACTGGGAGAGGAAAAATGAAGTATTTTGATAAGCAGACAAATGCTGATGACTTCCTGGATTAGAAAGCAATGTTTTAAAAAAGGGATTCCAGGTAACTAACATACAGTACAGAGATCCAGTGGGTCCCTGCACTTAGATTCAGTGTGCCATTTGGAAAACCACACCACACTACATCGCACACCCTTTTGTGAGCTGAGCCAGTGTTCTCTGATGCTGGCTGGGCATGGGTGGAGATGGCCGGTGAGGGTCGGAAGCCGCTTCACACACAAACCCCGGGCTTTCTTGTCCTCCAGCACCACTCACCTTGAGATGTGTCTCCTTCGCTAGAGACCCATAGCAATTCCTTAGCACTACAGCTGCTCTCCTGCGGCCTGGGGGCCTCAGATGGAGTACTCCCCAAGCCCCTTAATGACACAGAGAAAAACAACATATTAGGCAAAACACTATGAGGCCCCCTTTTCTTGACATGGTATTTTATGTGTGTTACATACAGCACTGATGTTACCTGTCTGTCATGGGTTTGGAGGGAAAGTTCCATCCTATGGGGAGTGGAAGGTGGGACATCAGGAGGAGGGGCTGTACTATATAAATATGTGATGCCTGTGCGGTGGGAGACACACTGAAGAGATGCTGAGAGACACTGGGTTGTGACGAAGCAGCAGCTGGGAAGAAGAAGCTGTTGTGGGAGTCTGTGTGTCAGACAGGGTACTTCTGTGTGTCAGAGTACCAACCTGATAGGTTCAGGTGTCTGTTGGTTAGCCAGAACTGATAGGTTCAGGGTCTGTGCTTTAAGTTAAGGTTCTGGGTGAACCAAACTGTATGCTTGTATGAGTGAGAATAAGCCACGTTACTTTATGTTATTCACCTGATTGTTTTATTTTGCCTGTGTGTATTTAAATAAACCTTATTCTTTTTACTTGTTTAAAAATCCATCCCTGGTCTGTGTGACTTCTTAAAGGGAATGGTTGGTGGCAGCTTAGTGTAACTGTGTGACATATCCCAGTAGGTCTGGGTTTGTCACAATGTGTAGGGTTTTTTGGCCATTATTTCCATGCACAGAAAAAAAAAGTCATCAAATGACCACCTTGGACTCCCAACTGTCACAGTTGAGATTTACCGTCTTATTTACCGTGTGGCAATAAAGGCTGAGCTCTTGAAGATAAGTGAACTTTCATTTAAAACTGGGGTAGGTTAATTGGAAACAAAAAGACAGGATTCACTTTAAGCAAAGTTTGACGTCAGGCCATAATCAATACTGTTTTTCATGACTGCTTTGTCTAGCATTCAGAAATGAGACAGATCAGTTAATGGAAGGTATGTCTAGCCCTGGTTTCTATTAAGAGGTGCAAGCACAATGTTTTCACAGTACTGTTAGCCAGTTTGTTGATGGCCAGCATACAACCATCTGTTTTCGGATCTGTTCCAACTCGTTCAGGCATAACTGGCAGTAGTCATTAATCAAGACACTGGCACCCATTACAGGGTCAGATTCAATTAACACAGGCCATGGAGGGGACACTTGAAGACAGAAGTGGGTATGAAGGATACCACAAGATGGAACAGAAAGCAGGTTGGAGCTAAGATAGGGCACGGAAATTAGTAGAGACCATTGGCTATACTTATTTATTGCTGGTCAAGCAACAGAATGAGTAAGTCTGTGAATTAAAGAAGAAGAAGAAGAAGAAGAAGAAGAAGAAGAAGAAGAAGAAGAAGAAGAAGAAGAAGAAGAAGAAGAAGAAGAAGAAGACAGAAAATAAAATATTCTCAGACTGCCAGCAGTATCCTGCCAAGGATAGTCAAGGTGCAGATACAAATCTCAGTCACCTTTGCTCTAAGAATTACTGCTTCAGGGACAGTCACTGAGTTAGGTGTGTAACAAGCTCATTTAAACAGTGCAATTCCTTATCCCAGAAGGTTTGAAAGGCCTATTGATGTATGTCATTCCATCGTATGGCCAAGCCCTTATTGTTTAGGTGATTTTGTTTTACTGGATAGATGTTCTGATCTACTATGTCTACTGTGTCTACTTTATCTGCTGCACTTCCTGTTTACATTATACTGGACTTTTTCCTTTTCTCTAACTGGATTTTATAGGGATGGTACCTCTAACTCCGAGTGACCAATAGGAACCAGAAAGGAAAAGATCCATAAATA